TGCGCCAGTTCCCCCGGCCATCCCATCCCCCCCCCCCAGTGACCTCACACTGCTGCAGGTACCACCCCCATCCCATCCCCCACCCCCAGCGACCTCACACTGCTGCAGGTACCACCCCCATCCCATCCCCCACCCCCAGTGACCTCACACTGCTGCTCTCTCCTCCCCGTCCCCCGCCCCCACTGACCTCACACTGCTGCAGGTACCACCCCCATCCCATCCCCCACCCCCAGTGACCTCACACTGCTGCAGATAGCACCACCATCCTATCCCGCTTCCTTAGTGTGTTCTTTATCCCATCTAGAATCAAACGTTTTTGGGAGGTTTTGCTGGGGGTGATGTTCATCCCTTTTCCCTTCAGTGCAACCCTGAGATTCATGTTCACCCTTCCTGTGTGACAGCTGGAGAAGCCTGCAAAGCTCAATGGATCTGTGAAAACCATCCCCCTGCCTCAGATGGGAGAATGGGTGAAGCCCGGGATGGTGGGCAGTGTAGCCGGCTGGGGCCGTTCTATTGCTGCCTCCAACGTGCTGCAGGAGGTGGAGGTGAAGGTTGTGAAGGATGACAAGTGCTTGAAGTACAATTACTACGACCAGGCGACCATGCTGTGTGCGGAGCATCCCCAAAAGTGGGAAGATATTGTACCGGTAAATCTGCCCCTTGCTTGAAGCTCTCAGTGGATGGCCGCTCCAAGGGGGTGTGTCACTGATCGGGCTGAGACAAGCGGGCTGGGCTTGTGAGGGGCCAAGGAGGGGCTGGGTGGTATCAGGGTGTCACTGACCGTTTTCCATCCATGTCCTGGTTTGTTCTGCAGGGCGACTCCGGCGGCCCCCTGGTGTGTGATGGAAAAGCCCAGGGCATCGCTTCCCGTGGGTCACGCCCTGGGAAAATCCCTGGCACGTACACCAGAGTCTCTGCTTTCATCGGTTGGATCCACAAGGAAATGGGTCAGCTGTAGGCCTGATTCCCCCCCAGGGGTCACTGCACAGCCCGGCTCTGCCTCGCTCCTGTGCCCTGGAGAGGGCCAGGTGTCAGGCCTGCTCAGCAGAGGGGCTGAATGCCCCACAGCCCAGCCTCAGTTTCCTCCCCCTTGCAAGCTGCAGTCCCCTCCCCCCACCGCTGATGGAAAAGCCCAGGGAATGGTCTCCCGGCTATTCATCGCTGGGAAAATCCCTGGCATGTACACCAGAGTCTCCGCTTTTATCAGTTGGATCCAGGATGAAATGAGTCAGCTTCAGGCCTGAGTCCCCCCAGGGGTCACTGCACAGCCCGGCTCTGCCTCGCTCCTGTGCCTTGGAGAGTGCCAGGTGTCAGGCTTCATCGGCAATGGGGCTCAATGCCCCACATCCCAGCCTGAGTTTCCTCCCCCTTGCAAGCTGCAGTCCCCTCCCCCAGCCGCTCTTCTGTTCTGGTCGTGCCCAGCGCATCAGGACACTCAAGATCCAGGTTCAGGGCCGGGTTCTGCCCCTAGGCCAAGGAGCGGCTGGAGCATGTTCGTGAGGAGCCAAACCCTGGGGTGGACCCGATGGGTTGCTGCTTTCCCAAGTGTGAGCCGGGCAAGTGACGGCTTGTGTGAGATCCTCCCTGTAATGGCCACCTGCACGTCCCTGCTGGAACCGCCCCTGGCCCTGCCCTCTCTGGGCCTTCCCTACATGCTGGCCCCTGGAGCATCCACCGCTCACTCCAAACACACCCGGATACAACCAGTCCAGCGCGAGAGAACTCTGGGACATCTGTGCTGACCTGCTGCCAATCAAACATCAGCCCTGATCCTCTCCTGCCCCAGTCCCCTGCTTCTCTGCATTTCGCTCGGCTCCCCCTGCTCTGTTGCCAGCCCCACAGCCAGCCAGTAATAAAGTCAAGTTGCAAAATATTCAGGTATTGATGCATCCAGCTTCGCCCACCAGAGCAGCGGCTGGACCTGCCCAGGCCAAGAGGGGACGGAGTTTACAGAGAGGCCAGGGTGGTGGTTAATGCTCTTGGCTGGGAGCCAAGATGCCTGGGTTTAGTGATGTCATGTACAGTGAGGATCTGGGGGTGTGGGTGGGACCTGCACCCCTCGAGAGGGGAGGTTTCCCATTGGGCTGGGACAGGCACAAAGGTCACTCAGGGGAGAAAAGCAACTTGTGCCGTTACTTGTCCTGACTCCTGAGGCCACTGCTTTTGGAAAATTGCAAATTCTAGTTGCAATCAGATCTAATTTTCCAATTCCCACCCACCCGTCCATCCATCCCCATATCTCTATCTACCCTGTCTCACAAAGGATGCTTCTCACTGGTCTTACGGGCCGTGACTGACCACCGGGGCCAGTTCATGGACATCTCAGTGGGGTGGTCGGGGAAGGCGTGTGACTCAGGTGTGAT